TTTAAAACTTGATATATATATATATAATAATAAAAAAATCTCCCCTTTCCAACCCAGCCAGAACTTTTTTCTTTTTTTTTAAGAGACACTAAGACATGAGTGTGTGCACAAGAGGGAGAGGAGGGAAAGCAAAGGGTGGGTCTGCTGGAAGCGGGTCTGGCTCTGGTCAGGGATGTAATAGCAAAATGGTGTTTTAGATGCAGATCATGTTTGCTTTCCAGCCTCAAGAGAAAAAAAATCGTGTGCGTTGAAGTTTCTCCCAAGCAGCCTATTCCTGGGCACCCACCTTCCAGCTCCCTTCCTGTCCCACCCCCTCACGTCTCCCTTTTCCGAGCCAGTCCCCCACCAACCCCCCCCACCCCCCCCCCCTCCCCGGCAGGAAGCAGAGGCTGCAGGCTCTCTACTTCCCCAGCGTCTGCGATTCTGAAGCCGAGGGGGCAGGGGATTGCTGGCTCAGGTTTTTGGCATCCTCTTGTGCAGGCTGGCTGGGCGAGGCGTGGGCTTGGCTGGCTGGGCACTGGCTGACCGTTTTGCTGGAAGACTGGGATGGGTAGCGCTTCCTGCCGTCCGCCCCCGACGTCGTAGGGTACCTCTTGTGTCCACCTTCCTCCCCCATGGGTGGCTGGAAGAGAAGCACACCAGTATCAGCACAGCCTCCTCCACAAGCAGCTGCCCTCGCTCTGGATCCGAAAACAGCTTTGCTGCAAACTGCCCTCCAGTTGCAACTTCTCTCCCTGGCCCACAAGGAACACACATACTCACCCCAAGAACACAGCTGCCCCCTCCAAATCTATCACTACCAGATTTGCTGACAGAAAGACAGACTGACTTCCAATCAAGCCCAAGGGTGACAATTTGCTCTTAGGCACTTCCTTCCCGCACAGGGGTACAGCCCAGAAATCCAAGAGCTGAAGCTGGCTCCACACAAGCCATCAGGGTTCACATCCTCCTCCCTCCTCAGCTCATCATTGAAGATGGGCTCATCCAGTTCCACAGAGAGCTGCTCTGAAGTGGATTTGCAATACTCAAACCCTGCAGCTTGTTCCCGGCCCGGCTGCAATGATAGGACATGACACTAGGTGTCACTGACTTCTGCTGCCTGGCACCACTTGTGGACCAGCCCCCAAAATCCTGTCCTTGGAGGGGGCTGAGAGGTGTTTGCAGGGACCATCAAGCATGGGGCAGGCATTGTATCTACTCACATCTACTCGGAAGTCCTCGAGGCGCTTGAACTTGCTGAGGTATTCTTGCAGTTTGCTGTTAATGTCCAGATTTTTGGCTTTGGAATATTTTAAGAAGGCCCAGAACTTTTCCAGCCCATAAAGCTGTCCTGGAGGGGAAGAAGACCAAAGCAGATGTCAGAACTCTCTCCTTCAGGCTTCCCTACCACTTGCCCCATGGACGCTCCTGTCCCACTGGTGGGCACAACCAAGGCAAGATGGAGGACCTGGAAGGAAGCAACCTACATCAGTAATGGGCAACCCTCCTGACAGAATGTCCTCGGGCTTGGCTGACATGGTGGTGGCAAGGCTCAGCCACTGCAGGGCATTGAGAAATCTTAGAGGAACCAATGCCTTTAAAGAAATGTTCTGGGAGAGCTACAGCCTCCCACTGCCCTTCTCCATCCCCCCAGAGTCTTCACTCAACCTTATTCCTAGAGGTGAGCAACAGGATATCCAGTCAGCTCCCACTGCACACAATGTACAGCATTACGTGGCTTCCCCAAAGTCATGAGAAGAGCCCCAGGGCTCTCAGCTCACGCAGCTGGGCTACTCTGCTGACAATCCCTAGGGAGGACAAAGGGTGCACCTACCAGCTTCGTAATCCTTGATGGTCTCTTCTTGAAAGTCCTTAAATATGTCTGGCCGGAATTTCTTCTCCAGCCCATAGCTGTAGTATCTGAAAAGGCACTCCAGACCGTACCTGGGAACAGAGCAGAAGTAGTGCTCAGACAACACCCCGGCAGAGAGGCTCTTGAGGCAAGAGCCCCCCACTGGGTACCAGCAGCAGGAGTGACTGAGGGTGACTCCCGTCCTACCTTCGAGCAAGGCAGGGACGCTGCCTTTGTTTAGCTGTGAGCCTTGCAAAAGGTTGAACCCCTCATCCCTTGCTTCCTCCCCAACAAAGGGCACTGCCCCTCCTCTCCTACCTGTATCCCTCCTTCCCGTCCTCCACAGCCAGTTGCTTGAACTCCTCATACATCTTCTTGTTGAAGTGATCTCGGAGGAAGAAGGACCAGAACCGGAACAGCGTGTTCATCTCCTGGGACTGACCGATGCCCAGCCGCTTCCGCTCTGTTTCGGCAAGAGGGGAGCGTTACAAGGCAGATCTCCCCCAGGGAGCCCCACGCAGGGGCTCGGGCTTGGGAGACCCCTGTGGCACACCCAGCCCCAGAGCAGGAGCCGCAGCTCCCGCTGGCCACAAGCGGTGGTGGGACATCAGGTGCCAGGCAGGTGGCCCCGCAGGACCCCGGTGACCTCCGCGTGCCGCCCCGAGCCCTACCGTTAAGGCAGCGCCGACGGTACTTGTGGTAGACGTGTTGCGTGAAGCCGTTCTCCTTGAGCAGCTCGTGCGAAGGATGCTGGAACTTGGGCAGGGACTGCGGGGTGCAGCCGTAGCTCCCGACGGCCGGGGTCCCCTCCGAGGGGCTGGAGCTGAGCATGAGAGACTCCCGTCAACCCCCTTCCTTGGCATCTCTCAGCCGACAGCAGAGCGGGGCCACTCTCCACCCCACAGCACTTCTCTGTTGGCCCCACCGACTCCCTGTGACTGTCTACTCTGGGTCTGGGGCCTGAGCCATGGAGTATCCTACTAGGAAGAGAGCCAGTGTTTCCAAACAAGTCTCATCTTGTTATCCCAAGGCCTTTCATCAGCGCCTTCCAGGAGGAACAAGTTAGCTCCCAATCCTTTCTGCAGCCACCTAACAGGAGACCTCCCCTGCAAGACCAGACTGCACTTCTCCCCTTCCTTCCCACACTCGCTCCCCTTCCCACTTCTGGCTGCTCCATGACCCCGTAGCACCTGTCTCCAGTACCTGATGGAGGCAGTTCTCGGCCTGTGCTCCCGAGAATCCATCACCCAGCCCACATGGCACTCCATCGGAGGGTTTGAACTGTGCCTCGTCTTCCTCTTCCGCGGAGTCTGCAAGACGTGGTGCATCAGGGACGTGTCCCCTTCCTCCCCAGGCCCCAGCTGGGAAACCCCAGCTCCCGCCCTGTGCCCCAGCCCTGCTCCCACCTTGGCATCTATCGTCCTGCCCTCTTTCACCACTGGGTAGAACCGGGGCGTCTGTGTGGGGTCCTTCAGCTGAGGCGTGCGCGGGGTCCGAGGGGTTCTGGCGCTGCGGTAGTTGGGCGACTCTGGTACAGTTGTAGGCAAAGACCGGGCGATGGTTGAAGGCTCAGGGACTCCAAACAGCTTGTTAGCCAAAGCGTCTGTAGGTACTGCAGAGAGAAATGCCCCCACCCTGAGTCAAGCTGGACTCTGAGCTCCACAGCATCACTACAGCTACGGTATATCCGTCTGTCAGATGGGAAGCAGGGGGGCAGGAATACAGGGACACAACCCAGCCCTCCAAGACAAGCAGCTTCAAATCCAGCACGTCAGCAGCTTGGCCACACAACCCAAAGCCTAGCAGCAGATCCAAGGACAGAGCTTTCAGGGATCCCCCAAGGTATCTGCTTCCCAGTGGATAATAGCAGTGACAAATCCCCCTCCCCACGAGAAGGGCAGGGCACCTGGTGCCACACACAGGCAAACAAGGCCCAGCAGGCAGCTGCCTTCTAAGTACTCAGAGTGGTTCCAAGAAGAAAGTCACATCAAGGGACCTACATCAAACTCTGCCAGTGTTTCCTCACTCAGCTGGGAAGGCCCTGCTTTTGGGCCTCCTCTTCTGCAGCCCCAAAATGCTCAGCTGGGAGAAGAGCACTGCTTTAGGCACAATGATCCCACATGCCTGTGGCCCCTACTCCTTCCACCCAGATGCTACCCAGCCTCTGAGGACCTCTCATCAGAAGGATCATGGACAAATTTAGCCTCACTCATTTGTGCCCCCTGCCTCTTACCTTGCTGGAACCTGGGGGGGCCAGGAGGGACTTCCTGGTTTGGATCCACAGGGGGCTCTGGGGTCAGGGTGTCAAACTGCTCCCTGCTGATCATATTCACTTTCTTGAAGTTCTCCACCTCTTGCTGCATTGGAAGAGGAAGATGATGAAGCAACCAGTTGCCCTCTTCTCCCCTCATACCATCAGCTCATTGCTACCACCACCCTGCTTGTGCCACAGTCACAATGCTGGGCAGCAAGTGCAGCCACGGTGCTTGTGTGCCCAAAATAATGACCTGCTGCACCGAAGCAGGAAGGGGAGATGCAGCAGACAGAACTGCTACTTGCTTCTCCCAAGCTTTCAGGGATCCTATGAGGTAGCTGCACTGTCACTTGATTTTTTCATGCTTTTACCCACTCATATCAGTGCCAGTGCAAGAAGTTTGAAGGCAACCTCAGTAACCCATGCTTGGCCAGGACCCCCCCATTGCTCCTGCCCCCTTCTTGCATCCTTAAAATCCTCCTTCCTGCATTCTCACAACCACACCAGCACTGGGGCACAACGCTCCCATCTATTTCAAGAACCCACACACCAAGCACCAACTGTTTCTCTGTTACTTGCTCTCCCCAGACCCTCCTGTTTCTGCCAGCCCAGAGAGCAGCAGTGCTTCAGCACTGCACCAGATACCAGAGATGGGAACACTGAGCCCAGCTGGTAGCTGCAACAGGCCGTCCCACCTCACAGTCAAAATAATTTCCGTCGCCGAGTAAGTCTAGGCAAGTCCCCCACTGTGAAAGTCACCAAGTTGGGATTCAAATCTTTCAAAGCAGCAGATGGGCTTTCTATAAAAAGCCTAAATCTATGCAAACTGGCACCAAAATGGAGAATAGCCCTGGCCAAGTGCAGCACAACCATCTCTCAAACCCATCCCCAGTAAATGCAGTCTCCCAGGGATCATGCTGTGGAGCACTGAGCACTATGGACAGTACAGCGACACTTTTTTCCCCCCACAGACCCGGGCAGACTGAAAAATGGGCCTCACGTTCCACGTCACCTCACTACTGGCACTTTGTTTACCTGGCCACAGCCTTCCACCACGTTACAGAGCTGTGTTTATCGCTGACGGAGCAGGGCACGACACGGGGAGCCGGGAATCCGAAGCTCTGCAAGAGGGCTAATCCCTCCTAAGCTCTGCCCCACCAGTGGGCTGTCCTGCCATACTGCCCTCTCCACCCCACGCCGAGGCAGCCAGGCTGCCGCACACGCGGTGCCCCACGCCCACTCCCTGCCTCCCATCGGCCGCTCTCACCTTGATCTGCGAATACTCTGGCTCGAACTGCTCCGTCCACAGGTCCTGCTCGTAGTAGTAGAGCCCATCGTTGATTACCTTGGCCAGCTCGGAGCTCATTTTGGCCCTGGAGGTGTGGTTGCCAGTCCGGTCGCCGCCGGGGTGCCGGCGCAGGTAGGGAGGCGTCTGGGTCACGATGAGGATCTTGTTCACGTCCCGGTCGTCGATCTCGTAGTCCGAATCCTCGTCCGACCAGTCGGTGAAGGTGTTCTTGCGCCCATCCATCTGCTCCATCTCCTCATCAAAGAGGAAGTCTAGCTCCTCAGGTTCATCTTGGTCCTTTTGCTTTTGCTGCTGTGGTGTCTTTGACTCCTCTGGTTTCTACAGGTGGGGGGCAAGGGTGGCACAGGCTTAAGACTGCAGAGCAACACAAGCTGACTGCTTTCACAC